AATTAGTTTTCTTGGAGTATGTGGATCAGTGGCTAGTTTGACAACTTCATTAGGTGACTTCGAAACCAGTACTAGTCCGCAAGAAGCACTCTTTTTTTCTTTTTTTTTTTTCTTTTTTAATGTATCATTGAATTTGGAAAAGTGACAAGAGTCTTCTAATATATTCATAGATAGATGAATAAACAGAATTGTGGTTATGTAATCAAGAAACCATGAAATTAAGCCGGAAAATTTCGATTATAAGGGTTATTTGATTTTGTTATGCAATCGTATATGAATTTTTACACTAAAAAAGCATGGAGATGTTTTTTTAGCAAAGGTTAAAACTAGAATGGCGATTTCTTCCATTTTAATATATTCTAAATTTTATCTCTTTTAGCAGCTAGTATGACCATTTTATTTTCTGATTTGATTCCGAAAATTTTAGTAATTTTCATTTTCTTATTTGATTCTGAAAATTATTAGTAATGTTATAAATGAAGTCAAAGATCTTAACCAACTCAACTCAAGTCATAATTAATTATTAGTCTTAATTAAGTGTATAGGCTAAAAGGGTCTGACGAGACATAATAACAAAATAAACATTTCATAGCCCAATGTCTTAATCCAATTTCGGTTAGACCTACACTTAAAGTCATTCTGTGAACTACCCACTCAATGAGTTAGACTATTCTATAAGTTAAGTTGAATTAGGTTCCGACCCATTAACCTACAACAGCCCATAAATTGGAAAGTAAAATCATATTCTATTTCCTCTTCTACTGAGATTCTGAATCTTACTCAAACAAGTAAACTTAATTTGATAAAGGCAAGAAATCATATTTCTTTCTTATCTCCCAAAATATGACTTAGTGTCCTACTAAGATTCCAACCCTTTGAGTTCACTATAAAAACAGATTTCTATCCTCTCATTAAAGAGGGAATCTCCAGTATTCAATTTTCATTACTAAAAGCCACCTACTTGCTCCTAAGTTCTTGCTCTCGAGAATTCAACACCTTCGCCATAGTCCTGACCTCTGACAAGACTCCCGATAATCCTTCTTTCTCTTAATTCTTATTAAATCTCTTCTTTCAGTCTTGCTGACTTGAGTATCAGAGTGCCTACGATAAACACCACCTCAGTATTTTATGTAAGATTCACACTTATCTCTTCATGTGTACAAGCCCAGCAGATTATCAATTGTCCCAACCTCACATGATCTGGGTTAAGAATGACTAATTTGATTATTGTTTGCATTCTAATTAAATATATTATGCGTTCTCAATATATAATAAGCTTGACATTTATTAAAAGCTGACAACGATCTCATATTTGAGTCGACTTTCAATAACTCACCTTGGGCTAATTGCAGCCTATATTGAGTTGTGACTGAGGTTGCCACTTGTCAGTTATTAGTTAATGTGATTATTATTTATCTTGTGCTGGGGATATCAAGAAATGAAGATATTTAATCAAAACCTCATTTAAACGAGACTTGCTTGCTTCATGAAGTGCTTAACAAAAGAAAAAGCTAGTCGCAACCCTCAACCTCCCCAACGTCAATCCAGTCGCGCCCCTCTTGCCTTAACGAAGATTCGCGATCTTGCACAATTCACTCTCTTCTAGCCATCTTAAACCATTGTTTTGGAGGTATCTTCTCCGGGTGTTGTGTGATTGAATGAGCAAGGAGGTTGTTGTTTCAAGAAGGAAATTCGACTCAGGGCTTGTGATCCGAAGCAGAACTTGTTGGGGCAAGTGCGGTTAATTTTTCAAATTTTCTCAACTTTGTTTGGTTTCTGAGAAAGTTTTTGGTTTTCCCAGAAGTTTTAGTCTTTGCTTGAATAAATTTGGGAGAAAGAGGAGATCTTTGGGTCAAAGATGCAGCAAGATCAACCAAAGAAGTTTACTTTCTCTATATTTCTTTCTTGGGTCTGTTTGGTTGCCGAGAAAGTTAGAGAAAGATTAGATCTGGTTAATGGGTTTTCCTCTGTTGAATTCTTGAGGAAGTTGATGAAAAACAAACAGAATTATTCACTTAGCCTAAATTTTTATTTTATCTGGACTACTTTTCTATTTCTTTTGTAGGGATCCTAAAAGTAGACCAGATAGAAACTATAAATTCTTGTTATACTTAGTTTCTCTGTAAATGTGTTAATGTTTTTCTGAGTCTTGTTTTCATGGTTCATTAACAGTTAATTTTGGATGAAGTTAACATAGCTCATAATTCTGAACATAATCTGCAATGTTGTTTTAAATCTATGAGCAACAATTGTTATTATTTATATGGTTGTAATAGGAAGTGCTATCGTGATTCAGTTTCTGCTGGTAATTTGAGGTGATAAATGGAGTTAATTAAATTCTATGCTGGTGGAGGTGAAGAAGAAGAAGAAAAGAGAAGGAGAAGAGAGGCAGCGAAGGTGAAAGAAGAAAAGAGTGGAAGAAGAGAGAAGGATATTTTCGTCTTTACATTTACTAATAGATCTTGAAGATGGGTGGAAAAGTGTCTTTTTGAAACTTTTCGGGTGAGAAAGTATTTTAGGCCAAACCTTTGTGATTTGTTTTATGATTTGATAATATCAGCTTACTTGAAACTTACAGAGAGCAAATTTATTGAGAAGTATATAACTCGATTTCAGGAAAAAGTACCTCAGTTGTTGATGTGTATGGAGGAAAAATTGATTTTCTGGATGTGAATCCTAAATTTCAGAGGTCTGTAAAATGAAAGAGTTCACATAAAACTTTCTCTTTGCTAAAGGGTGTTTCTAATTTCTAAATTTTAGTTTTACTGAAGGGAAAATTGATTTACATGTATACTTCTTAGGTCTAAATTTGTTTTCTTGAGTCTAGCATGAAATTTGTTCTATGATCATATAATATCAGTGAGTCAACTATACATACATATAAATAAAAAATCAAAGTTAAAAAGAATGTGAAAATTGACCGTGGAGTTCACACCGGTTGCTGGCTTGGATGTTGTCCCATCTCAATTAATTTCACTTTTAATTTCCCATTTTATCTACGTTGTAATCAAGATATTAAAAATCATAAAATAGAGAATAAACAAAGACTATTAAAGATTGGAATATAAAAAAGGACTAACATCAATTATTGGACTTACTATGTGTATGTGTGTGTGTGAGAGACAACTAATCTACTTTACCAATAATTTTGGAATAGCATCGATTGTCGTTGACCTTTTGTCGAACCGCTGGTGTGCACGCTTGGAACGGTGGAAGGTGATGGCATCGAGGTGTGTCAGCGATTGGAAAATCAACAAACAAACCACAAACATTTCAAATGAACCTTTCTCGATCGTCTTTCAACCCAACAAACACAAAAAACCGAATTAATCAAACCCAATTCATCAATCAGAACTCGAAAAACCTTAGGGTGGGGAAGCTTCAATCGCCAGTGATTGGTAAACAAACAGGATCGGGAATGTTAGGGCTTTTTTAGAGGAATAGCCTGTGAGTCTATTGGTGGTGACAAGGACGATCTCCAGTGACGAAATCAACCGGAAAAGAAAATAGTGCGCAAAAACCAATCGAATCTACGATTGATGAACGGCGGGCAAACATGGGTGGGACGGAAGTGGGTTTTGGCGAGGGAAGTGGGAGAAGTATTTTGGTGGTGGTGGAAGAGATCGACAACACCAGAAAAATGCCAATTTGGCCTTGGTCAGTGGTTGAGCGAGGGTGCGTTATTATGGGAAGAAAAGCGCCATTCCAACTAGATTAAGGACAATTAGGCTAGGGAAAAGGTACAATCGACGAATGGAAGAAGATTCAATCGGATTTCATGAAAAAACCAGATGAAATCAGATTGAACCATCACCGATTTCCCGTGACCCACGACCACTGCGTGGTTGCCATTTTCAGGCCATTTGTGGCCTGAATCAAGCGTCGTTGAGCCTTCCCATCACCACCAAGATACTCCCTAGCACTCCCTCACCAAAACACCTCCCACTCTCGTCCGTTTAACCCCTCCATTCGCTAGCCACCGCACACGGTTGGTTCACGCGATTCTTGCCCTTTTTCAGCCACTTTCGGCATCGAAAATCCCTTTTGAGACCACCAATCAACTCACTATCCCACCTCCAAAACCCCTAACCTTCCCAACGCCAATTGCATGCTGTTCACCACTCTCCACCACCTAGGGTTTTGCAGTTTTTGCATCGATTTAGCTTGATTCTGTGGCCAAAATCCAATCTTCCACCACTCCTTCAACCTCTGACCTCCCCTCTTCAAAACCCGTCAAACCCCAGCACTTGGTTACTCGCCATTCATCGGTCGTGAATCACCACCCTTTTTCTTCGTTCGTCGTTTTCCCAGCAAGGTGAAATTTTAAATTTATACTCCTACCCTTCTTCACAAGGAAATTTACTAACCAAACTATGCTTTAGGTAATAAAATTGTATTTTGAAATTTTTTAGGTGACAAAGTGTCATAGTGCCATTATTTGGGTGGGAAAAATTTGTCATAGTGCCATTATTTAGACGGGAAAAATTTGTTTACTCTTTGCTAAAGACTTGTTTTAATTCCTTGGAGAAACTCAGTGGCAATCTTGATAACTTTATCGGGTAACAATCTCTGTTTTAAAAACCGGTCTGACCAAGACCTTGGAGCTTCTCCGGTCCAGTTTAGGTCTTAGGGGTTTTTATAATATTTCAAAATTATAAGGGTTAATTTGTAATTTTATAGGGATGTTTTGGAGATATGTCAAAAGTTTAGGGATTAATTGGTGATTTTTTGGGGTATTTTCGAAATAAATAAAAATTTTAGGGACTAACGACTTTTAGGGGAATTTTTGTAATATATTAAAATTTGAGGGATCAATATATAATTTTTTAAAAATAAAATTGTCGTTGATGTCATCGATCTAACCGGTTGGACCAGTTGACCCGTGACCCGGACAACAAAACGAGTTGCCCTCTGATCTGGGTTTTAAAACAATGGTGACGATACGGTTAATGAACAATCAAGTCAAGATTTGACTATTCAAGAAATTCTAATTTCTCTCTTTTTATTTTTTAGTCTTACAGTAGTATGCAAAATCCTTGCAATTATTAAAAAAGGAATCGTAAGCACCAAAGTGTCGTTTTCCCTCGAGAAACTCAGTTGCAATTCTGATAACTTCATGGGGTGAATTACAAGCGCAGCTATATTGATAAATATATAGCTCACTCTCACTTAGGAAACAATCAAGGCAAGTTTTGATGATTCCATCATCAGTGTCCGGATTGTAGCCACATTTTTGGCATGGAGAAGATGAATTACCTTTCTTTGCAGGTACTTTCTTTCCAGGTGCTTTGTCTGCAGGTGCCATGAGATGAATTACCATGTCGCCGCCCACATATATTCCTGTATATATAATTACAAAATACATCAACAAATTATAGAAACTCAAAAGAATAGTGAATGAAAACTACTTACCGTGATGATAGTAGAGACCTCCCAGCCTTGGACCACAGACATGATCACTCGGTTTCAACTTAGACCGAGTAGTGCTTTGTTTATTTCCCATCTAATTTCTCTATTTCAAATTNAAAAAAAAAAAAAAAAAAAAAAAAAAAAAACAGAAACCACGACAAACTTGAAAAAGAAAACAAAAGTAAAAGGAATAAAACCCTAAACCTGTCAGTAGAATCGATTCAGAAAGACAGGAATAAGGTGAAGCTGGCTGAGGTTGCTTAAGATCTGAGGCTCTGTTTTACGTATTGTCTTTGTTCTTTGGTTTAGGATGCTGAGTGTGGCTGTGCAGTGTGCGGTGCATATGCAGAATATCAAACTGGAGAATTTGTCAATTTGAGAGTGAGAGAGATGAGTTTGAGACAAGCTGGGACTTGAGTACTTGACTAGGGCATAAAGGATTTGCCGATTTGGGGCTTTTGCCTTTGAAAATTGAATTATTGAAAATCTGCCATTTTTTTTTTTATTAAAACCGGTTACCTTAAAGCAAATAACCGATACCCGAACCGAAAATTCAGGTATCACATTATAACTACCCGAAACCGACCCGAATTTTCGGGTATCCGATTTTCCGGATTCGGTTCGGTTCGGTTACCGTGTTTGATTCAGTTAGCGGTTTTTTTTGCACAGCCCTATCATAATCCACAATTTTTCGTTTGGAATTACATCGGCTCTGGGATGAACTCTAGGTATGGTTGCTGCACTTACTCCCTTGCCTGTTATTGGCGTTCCTGTGCGGTCTTTGCATTGATTCACTCTTATCAATTGTGCAGGTAGTCTGTTTATTTAACTCTTACTATTATATTTATAGGAGACGTAATGCTCAGAATATTCATTCTCCTATGGTCTTAAATGTTTATGAAATTAATCTATTGGCACCCAAAATTCATGTATGATATATCTAAGAGGTACCCTTTTGGTTTGTCGGTCTCTTTTCTTATAAGCATTTTTGCAATAGCCAGGGGCTAATTACATTGTAGTCTTTTGGATATTTTTAGTGAAATCACTATTCATTAAGTTTATTTTCTTGACTCATGTAAGCTCTAGAAACATCATGACGCTATTATGTTAGGCCAAATTTATTGGATCTATAACTTTCACGGTACTAGAGAATATTTAAATGACAGAATGACATAAAAACTATTTAAATCCTGTTGGTGTAACCATGATGACTTCCCTTGCACAAAAGTAACGTCCAATTGTATAGCCTGCTATACCAATATTGCTTGTATCAATTTCTTCAAGATGGAAAGTTATATGTTATATTAGTGGTTTCAGAATTTTTTTTCCCTCGTACTGATAAATTCTAATTTGATTATTCAGATGCGTGGGGATGTCCCAGTTGCAACAGTCGCAATAAATAATGCAACAAATGCGGGTTTGTTAGCAGTAAGGATGTTGGGGGTTGGCAATGCTGATCTACTGGGAAGGTGGGTTCCTCTCTCCTTATGGTTATATATAATGTTCTGAAAACCGGACCAGACAATGACCCGTTCAAGGGTCCGGTTTTCGGTTTGACCGATTGGATCGGTCGATTGGACCGTAATTTATAAAAAAAATTTAGTCCCTAAAGGTTTGAAATTCATCAAAAACACCCCTATAATACTCCCTTAAGGTTTAAAATCTATCTAAAACACCCTTGTCAAGCGAAGATTCTGGTGAGTGGTGGCGGTAGCGACGATCGACGGCCAATCGAAGCTGGAATCTTGGGGCTTTTGATGTGTAGGTGTCGACAACTCTGATGGTGGTGCCAGGGAGTTCCATCGGCGTCGGAAATCGCCAGAATCAACAAAAGAAGTTTGACGGTCGCGTGAAGTTCAGGTGGACCGCGAGCAACGATGACTGGATGACGGCCACTGAAAATGGTTGGGTTTTGTAGTGGAGATGCTATCAAGTCTAATGGCGGTGATTTCTCCCTCTATCGGTGCCAGAATTCGGTGGGATTCAACTGCGATTAGGGGTGAGCACGGGTAGCGGGTAGAACCGGAACCGGGGGTAAGAACCGAAACCGGAACCGGAACCTACCCAGAACCTGCACTGTGCGGGTAGGTTCCGGTTCCAATTTTTTGGAACCGCTACTGTGCGGTTCCGGTTCCGGTTCTTACCCCCGGAGGAAGAGGAACCGGAACCTGTAAAAAAGGTACCCTGTTTGGAACCTATAGGGGGTACCCTGTTTGGAACCTGTTTAGAACCTGTTTTGGAACCTGTTTTGGAACCTGTTTGGAACCTGTTTGGAACCTATATTGAAACCTGTTTTTGGAACCTGTTTAGAACCTATTTTGGAACCTGGACTATAATGAAATATTTGTGAAATGTAAATAATGGGGGAGTTTCTATTATTTTACATATAAAAAAATTTAAAATAGAAAAAGTTAAATTTTTAGAATAACCTAATTAAATAAATATACGAATACAATTATACTTATTACATATAAATTACACCATATTAAAAGCTTTAATATATTATAATACATTAATATTAAAGTTTTGATCAATTAAGTGAATAATTGGAATTATGATCCAATTAAAAGTGTTTTACATTTTTAATGTTATTAAAAGAATTATTTTTGAATAAAATAGTATATTTGATTGAGTAATAATATATTTAGTTATTTACTTCAATTATCAAGTTCTAAGTATATCTATAATAAATTAGTAATTAATTAATTATATATGATAAATTGATAAACATTAATAAATTTAATTACTAGTTAAATATCATACTTAATCAATTATAACATTACATTATAGTTAAATGATTACTTAATTAATTATAATTTTATAACATTACTTAATTGATTTATAGTATAATTAATTATAGCATTACATTAATTGATTACTTTATTGACTTTATTATAACATTAGTGCAAACTTAATTAAATGATTAAAAATTTAATTAATTATAATATTACATTAAAAATTTATAGTATGATTATTTAATAGTTAATTCACTATAACATTACTTATAGTATAATTATATAATTAATTATAACATTACATAATTAAATAATTACTTAATTGATTATGAGTTATAATATTATGTTTTAAACATTAGTAATTACTATTGCTACATAAACATTAGCACAATACTTAATTAAATGATAAGAAATTATTAATTATAACATTACCTTATAAACATTTCATTAAAACATTAATATAACATTACATTATAGTTAAATAATTACTCAATTAAATTATAATATTATTATATTACATTATATATTAATCACTTACTTAATTATAGCATTACATAGTTAAATGATACATTTACATAATAGTTATGAATTTATAACATTATATTATAAACATTAGTAATTTACTAATTTACTATATATTACATTACTATTAAACGATTAAAATTTATTATTATAACATTACCTTATTTTTAATTTATATATTTATAATATAATTACTTAATCAATTATAACATTCTATTATAAACATTAGTATATTAATCAAATGATTTGAAATTTAATTAATTATAATATTAAATTATAGATTTATAGTATGATTATTTAATTCATTATAACATTACATTATACTATTATAGTCTGCGATTGGACCGCGATTCGGCACTATTCCAGCGGTCCAACCACGGTCCAATCCGGTTTAAATGCAATTAACGGTTTTTGAAGTATTCCGGACCAAAAATGTTGTCAGTCACTGATCGAACCGGTCTGACCGGACGGTCCTGTCCGGTTTTCAGAACCTTGGTTATATAGATAATTCATGAAAATAGTAATTTAAATGATTTTCCTTTGCTCCTGCTTTTTGATGTTTTGAAAAAAAATTGTGCAGAATGAGCCAGTACTTGAAAGACATCAAGAACGATGTCTTGACAAAAACTGAGAAGCAGCAAGATGGTTGGGAGTCTTATTTGAATCATTAACTATGTTAATGCTTTTATGGAGAGGTGTTTTTTGTTTTTTGCCTGAAAACTTGGGTCTACTAATAAGTATAAAAATCGGTTACAACATTTGTCGGATTACAGAATCAATAAAGATTAACTCACAATCTAATCTTATATACTTTCTCTCATAAACTTGACATGACAGTTAACAATTGATCAGTTCACAATTGAACATGTGGGACTCATAGCGAGTAGACGAGACTCATTTGCGAGTTGCACTTCGGGATTGCGTGAGAAAGTTTGTGAGATTGGATTGTAAGTATAGTATTACTCTTATAGAATAAATTGACAACTCTAACAGGATTGAAATGTAGCAAAGATCATTGTAGGGAAAAAGGTTGAGGGAATAGGTAGCCTTTTTGTCTGTGATTTTGTTGCTATAAGGTGGGTTTAATGGATAAATTAAAATCGGTTTTTCTTGTACTGGTTTGATTAACTATTTAATTTGGGCATGCATCTTATTTATATTAGCAAAAATATTACGTTTACAATCTTTTCTTATAAATTTTCTCTCACAATCTTGACCATTTCAACTTGACTGTCCGTTATTGGTCAGCTTGCAAATAGATAGGTGAAATCCATGACGAATAGGCGGGACTCATTTACGAACTCTCACGTCGGGATTGTGAGAAAAAGTTTGTGAGAAGAGGTTGTGAGTGTAGTATTACTCCTATATTAGAGGTAATCTCATGTGAAATTATCAAAACCTCTTTTCAACCTTTTCTTTTTAGTTAATTTCGGTAGCTACTTAGTTTTGCAATTTGTTATAAGATTAAGAAATTAATTTTGGGGATATACTTAGTCAATACCTCACGGTCCTCACACCTTCCTCTCAATTCTTTGTTCGAAAGAATAGTGTGATGAACCCAGCTTATCTGACGTAGCAGTATTCCACAGTCACCCAACTATGCTGCAATGTCGGTATGCACTCAAACTAAGGCTTTAATTTATGAAAAATGATACGGTCACCGAAAAAGGGATACCGAATTCATGCACCGATAGACGTGGCATCATCATGATTATTGATTAGTTATGAATTTTGTTTTTAAAAAAAGCGGATAATGTCACGTTTGTTCGGTGCATGAATTTGATATACTTTTTCAGTAATTGTAGCATTGTTTTTAATTTATTTTTCACTTCAGATTTAAATTCATCCACATTAAAATTAGGGATTAGTACTTTTTAAACCTTGAAACTTGGATTATACAGTGTTAAGTCACTATCCCACTTATAAAAGCTTAAGCTAGTAAGTGAAGACTCAACATTATATTAGTTTAATTATAATCAACTTGGTTTGTAGTCGGATGACAAGATCTTAAGTTATCCAGAAAACTTATAAAAAAAAAAAGAAAAACTACAAAACTTAAAATTAACTGGTTTTTATAAGAGGGTCGAATAAATCATTATTATTAAGTGTTTGTCTCTTTAACAAATTTCATATGTACGAAAATTATTGTTTGAACTATACAAAATAAAACATAAGCGTTCTCAAGAGATATTAATTATAGGCATACAAATAGAATAAATTATGGTTGTCAAATCGCGTATTGTATTATGTATCGAAAACCTAATTTTTTAAATCGTGTATCGCGTATTGTAGGATACATCTTTTTCATAATTTTTTTTTCTAAAAATTAATATCATCCCCAAGATTAATTAACGAATTTTGTGGTATTATTGACTTTAAATTATGGTATTACATAATCAAAATTAATCACAAAATTAAGTATCTATATAATTTCCTCTCAACCATTGATATCATTTCCAATATCAATGTCAACATCTATATTTCTACTCATGTTATTATTATCATGTAAAATGGACAACATATATTCCTTTTCACTTTCTCCATACAAAATGGGTAAATTTGGGTGGGTTTCAGTGAACTGGGTTGGGTGACCTGGATCTAACCCGAAAACTTTTTTGGGCCTTCGACCAAAATTAATAAAGTCGTATCGATATTTTTAAAGATACAAACCGATATGTATTGTATGGTATGATACATATCAACGTATCGAAAGGTTTAAGATACACACATCATCTGATACGTATCGTTAAAGACCCGTATCGAATTGTTTTGTAAAATACATATCATATATTGTAGGATACTAATAACCATGGAATAAACACACATCAAGAAGTAAAATGAATTGGACATTTAAGAGAAGAAGCTAAATTTTACAATTTCCTAATTTCTTGATCATAAAAATCCAAATCTAATTTCTTATTTCTAGATCATTCTGACATCAACATCGAAAGTGTTGAATAGTTTCCCCAATCTTTATTGTTATGAAAATTCATAATCAATTCTATGCCTAATCACATGCACAAATAACACAGATAACACACGTAATACCAAATCAAAACCACAACCAACTCAAGAACATCAAATATATCGTGGTTCACCTTTCCACAAAGGAAAGATTACATCTACGTTAAGCTCTAGGAATTTTGGGGCTCACTACACTAGGAATAAAACGTTATTACAGATTACAGATAATAGATAACTCTCACTGATTTTACCCAAATATCAATCAAGAAACCCACTCACACAAACCTGAAAAATTCCTAGAGATGACTTGACCTAGTCTCTCTAAACCTGAAGGAACAACCTGCCTTCACCCAAGATTACACAGATTTGTAACTCACACAAGATTGAAAACAAACTCTCAACACAAAGGGCAAAACAGATCTGTCGCGCAAAAGAGAAGAAGCAAAAAATCACTGTTCTATGTAAAGACTCTCCCTTTATATAGTTTGACCTCATGAGCTAATCCTGGCCGCTGGATTTGCTTTATTTCAGTGGCTGAGATTTGATCTTATTTGCAGTGAAACAACAATGTATTGATTAGTGATATTGTGCAGAAACGTTACCGTTTTGTGCTTCATATATCAACATTTATTAATTACAAACTGCTACATTATGACTTTGTTAACAATAGTGTTGTTTATTGTTTTGACTCTTATGCTTTAGTCATTTAGAAAGAATGTGTTAGCCTGTTAGGTGGACGAGCATTTATTTGAGACAACATTATTTCAATTTTGTAATATATTCTTTTATATTAATGTTAAAGTCTTCTATTTAGATTAGTCCTTACGGTGAGTTAATAGACATGAGGCACTAAATTCAATATTGTCAATAAAAATCCCAGTACCAATGTTGATTTTCTACGGATTTTTATTTTTTTCTCCTTCTAGTTCTTCATATTCTTTTTTTATCATATCCCCAAAATCTTGGGAGTTGAAAAAACCTACATTTGATCGCTCCACTATTTGTAATATTCTCCTTCAAATAACTATTTGTAATATTCTCCTTCAAATATTGGTATTTGACATAGAAAATATGAAAATAAAGTTGAAAGAATATTTGATGGGTAATCTGGATTTGATACCACAAATATTGGAACTTGATTTAGAAATTATATATGAACACAAAGTAGGGACAATATTTGATGTCATAATTTGAGTGGGGATCATCAGCCTCCAATGTAGATCCGCCCATGTGTGACTTTGATACCATTTGTAAGAAGATTTTTTGATATTAGCTACAGAAGAGAATTAACATTTAAAATTTAAGAAATAACAATCTTATTGATTGAGAATAGACTACAAGAATTTTCTCAATGATTCTTTTATAAAATTTTTCCTAAATCTAGTAAGACTAAAACTTTTATCTTAGTTCTAGTCTAATCGGACAATTGTGTTCGAATATTTCAGTTATAAGAACAAAAAAATAAAAATATCTTTTAGGGTTAGGATTACAAATTTCTTGAATGAAGGCTTTTATACAAAAGAGGAACAGTAAGAAATTTTAGAGCATCAAAAGACATATTATAACAAAATTTAACGACCCCCATTATAAGACATTGAGAGAAGAACCTAAATTTTAATATTTCCTAATTTCTTGAACATCAATCCAAATCAATCGAACTTTTTTTTTTTAAATAATAATTTCTCAAATCAGTATGAAATTGAAGGTGTTAAATAGTTTCTCCAATCTCTATTACAATGATGATTTTTCTACGAGTTTTTTTGTTTTTAATCATTAGGGAGGAGTGTTTTAATTGGATGAGTATTTTGTTTCGAGTGAAAATATTATTTTATATGAACTATTAAATTCATGTATTCAAATAACTGCCTGTCATGAGTTAAAAGGTGGGAAATTTAATCTCAATAAAAGTCCCAGGATTGGACTAACATTAATGTTGATTTTTCTACAGCTTTCAGCTTCTTTTTTTTATATTTTTTTCTTTTGGTTTTAAGCCATTAGGGTTAGGGAGATGTTTTTGTCGGACAAGTGACATTTTATTTTATATGAACATTAAAGTCTTGTATTTAAGTCTTGTATTTAGAAAGTAAAAATAAATTTATTATTTTGGTCATTGATGTTGAACAATGCTCATTTTTCTATGGATTTTTTGTTTTAGTCATTGATGTTGAATAATTGTGACACATTGTTGACGCCACGTTTTTATAATTGATTGCAATGAGGGGGGTAAGTGATCACTATAAAAGTCTAACTATCATGCTGATTGAACTACAAATAAATCTTTGTAATCTTAAAATAACAGCATATTAGAAGATAGAAAGATGGGTTCTCTGGATAACAAACAACAACAGTCCATTAACAACACAGGGAATGAAGATTGCTTGAATGCCTTTATGTTCAGCAACTTAATCGCGTTCCCTATTGTCCTCAAAGCCGCCATTGAGCTGAATTTATTTGCAATAATGGCTAAAGCAGGCCCTGGTGCTCATATTTCCGCCTCTGAAATAGCGTCTCAGCTACCTACTAACAACCCATCCGCAGCTTCAATGCTTGATCGCATGCTGCGGTTGTTGGCTAGCCATTCCATGCTTAAGTGCTCTTTGCGCACGCTTGAAGATGGTAGAGTTGAAAAGCTTTACGCTCTCACACCTTCCTCTCAACTTTTTGTCAGCAACG